CCCATGGAGCAGCTGGCGCCCGGGTGGCCTTTGAAGCTGAGGTCTGCCAGCTGCCCAGCGGGCTGGGCCAGAGCAGCGGTGTGAGGTTCAGGCGCCTGTGGGGGGCGCCGTTAGCCTTCAGAGACATCGCCACCAAAGTGTCCAAGGAGCTGGAGCTCTGAGGGCGACAGGAGGCGGGGCAGACTGATGACAGGAGGGAGGAGGAGGAGGAAGAATGAAGCAGACTCCATCGCTGCCTCCTCCTCTTCCCTGTGCTCCACCTCATCTGATGCCTCGCCTCCACCAAAGACCCTCTTCCTCCGATGCCACCGATCACAGCTACACACAGATAGTCCACCATCGTCAGGCTTATGATGACCTTTCACCTTGGAGCAGTCGGTGACCAGTGACCCCTCCTTAAAACACACCACCACCTCCATGTTCTGTGAGTCCATGGAACCAGACTGTTACATTTTGTTTTTCCTCAGTTTCAGGTGAGAACGATGGGAGCTGATCATTTGATTGATGTTGACATTATTATTCCTTTTTGTATCATATTTGTCATCATTCCTTTTTTTAAAGAGCTGCTATTTAAAGAAATGTTAAAATGTGTGTGTAGTAAGTTTATTTTCTGTACATAATGCTTTTAAAGTGGGCAGAAGTTCGATACCTGTGTTTCTCACAAGCAGGTGTCACATAATGTAAAAGTGAGGGTGCAGTCTGACCATTGGCCACTAGAGGGAGACATGCAGAAATGCAAAGACTTGAATGAAGCATCACAGCCTTTCTGCCCATCCACTGGTAATTTTATTCATTTAATGTCTGCGTGCTCCATTCCTTGTTAAGTGTTGGCTTCTCTGCCTGCTGCCCACACTGGGTTCTCCTCAGTTTGTCGGCAGCTTACAGACGAGAAACGCTGCCTAATAACACAAGACCCCAGCTGAGAGGTTGTACTTGATAACAATTGATCAAGCTTGTGCTTTACAAATATTCAGCTTCACCAGACATCTTGTCCCTCGCTGCCTTCAGTAAAATCCTTTCCAAGATTAAGAAAATAAAACAACATTTTGACAGTTTAAAGTGCAACCAGCTGAAAATCTGGATCTTTGTTATTCAAATGTTATTTTTAATATTTAACTAACTCTCATTTCACAAACGTCTCACCTCCCCGTGGTTTTTTTGTTTTCCTGTTGGTTACTTTGATCCGTTGTCAGTCAAATGTTAAGCAGCCATAGATCAATAGAATCCGTTTATGTTTTTAAGTTTTTCACTATCATTTGACTGGTTCTTCCAAAAACATTGGTAACACTTTATTTTCCAGGTCTGGAAATACCAATTTATTTCCAAATAATCTCCTAAGAGGTTTCCTAGAAAGAGCCGGGTCATCTGGTGCGAAGTACAAGTGAAACAGAGTGAGCCGCTGGTGCACTTCCTGTTGTTTATCAGTGCTTCACAGCAGCTGAGCTGAATGTGAAGCGTCTACAAACACAATTCACAAGTTTCCAGTAATAAATATTCAGTAGCGTTAAAGTGGAGCAATGGAACTTATTGTCCTAAAATAAGTGTCAGAGCTCTGCCTCTGTTTTCCTGTAATTAGTACCAAACTACAGACATTATTAGGAAACATCAGACCTGCACCAATACTGTAGAGCTCATCCTGGTTTAGACTAAGTGTAGGAGTGCGGGTTTGACTGACACACAACCTGGTGGCACTTTGTTACAGCAATACTGTATCAGCTGTCAGGATGCCTTCGCGCTCCTCAAATGTCGTGCAATACTGCCACAAAGTCAACAATTAAGACTTGAAGAAGCATCGTTTAAGACTTAATAGGGCTCCTTGATTGGTGTATGTTTTTAATTTTTGATACCGTTGATGTTTTTTTTTTTATAATTTATTGAGCACTTTTTTGCTGTTTAGCCAGGATTGCGTTGTACTGTGCTGGCAGAGTTTTTCATTAATCTGCGTTTTTCTTTTGTTAAACAGTTAAAAATCTCACTGTCTCACACATGTAAGGCCCACGTACATGTGACTAATTGACACTGAATGCCTTTTTTGCCTTTACTCACATGTATCTACCTACAGTGGCTTCTAGGCATCAGTCACTTTCCACAGTAAAACCAAATGGAGCGATGACTTCAGGTTTCTAGGCAAAGGTTTGATTTCATGGACACCAAAGAGTCGTATTAAGGAAACAGAGGTACAGTATAGGTTTCTGAAAACTCAAAAGTGGTGGTGTCTCCCTAAGGTTTTGTCAGATTTAACGGTTTTCTTTTGTCCATTTCTTTTGAATTTTAACTTCAGTGATAAGAGAAAACAGTTGATGTTTCCCTGTGTTGACGAATCAGGCTGCAGCACTGATGTATCCATGACTGTTGATCAATCAGATCCTGTTACTGCTGTAAGAGGTTGACTGTTAACCAATCAGACTCCTGCCAGTGTATAATTTGAAAGCATGCATCATGTGCAGTGATGAGGCAGTGGAGTAAAATGTGGCCTTGAGCGACCTTTTCTACAATTCAAATGAGTTTTATTTGTAAAGCACCAAATCACAACAAAAGTCGTCTCAAGACACTTTAAGAAGTCAGGTCTAGACCTTACTGTTATTATAGAAGATAAACCCAACAAACCCCCCTTGAGCAGAACTTGGCAACAGTGGGGAGGAAAAACTCCCTTTAACAGAAGAAACCTCCGACAGACCCCGGCTCTTGGTGGGCGGCCTTCTGCCTCGACTGGTTTGGGTGAGTGGATAGAGGAGAGAGGAAAGAAAAGAAAAGCTTGATAGCTAAAGGCTCTGCCTCCCATTCTACTTCTGTGGACTCTAGGAACCACAAGTAAACCTGCACTCTGAGAGCGAAGTGCTCTGTTAGGATGATAAGGCTCTACGAGGTCTTTAAGATACGATGGAGCCTTGTCATTAAGGGCTTTGTATGTTAGGAGAAGGATTTTAAATTCTATTCGGAATTTTACAGGGAGCCAGTGGAGAGAAGCTAATATGGGAGAGATATGATCTCTCTTGCTAGTTCCTGTCAGTACTCTGGCTGCAGCATTTTGGATTAACGGGAGGCTTTTTAGGGAATTATTGGGACATCCTGATAGTAAAGAGTTACAGTAGCCCAGCCTGTCATCTTCACTCCTGTCCCCATTGGAACATTCACTTTCAGTCCTAGCCGGCACTGCTGTGTGACAGACATGCTTTTTCTTCCCTGTCACAGAACTAGCAGAATCAGTACCACAACCAGAACTATGAGTTTTCACTGAAACACCAGACGCTTTTTGCAACTTTTCCACAGGGTCTGAATCTGCTGAAGCACCACCATGACCAGAAACACAAGCTTTATCACTGTGAGTGGCAGTCTGTGCCTCAGACTCCGCTTTAACGCCGTCCAAATATTGCTGTGCGCCACGACAGTCACTTTCACTACCGGGATAAGCAGCTGTCTGTAATATTCCACCGTGGACAACAACCAGTGGCGAAATATGTTGATTACTCACACCAGGAGTAATTAATGGCATCTGATGTGATGCATTACCTTTAAGTTTTGACTCCCAGCTCCCTTCATGCAAAGGAGCCAGAGAGGGAGG